TTTTTTTTCAGTTTAAATCCTGCTTTTGCATGGGATCCCTCCCATGTAATAAACTTCATAGATTCCCCAAAAGATTTAGGCCCCTAAGAGGAAGAGTTCCAGGTGAATCATTAGCTAGGACATCCAAAATTGCTTTTCTATATGCCAAACCTCTCTCTCTCTCTTTGGCATGTGGGACACACCCAGCCCACTGAATGTGTGTGTGGAGGATGAACAGAGATGTGCCAGCTAGCTCTGAGCCTTTCCTTTGCTGCACAATGCTGCCACACTTCCTAGGACGTTATCACACGTGGGCCAGAAAGCGATAATAAAGTGGAAATGAGGCATTCTGAAAATAAACCGAAAATAAACCTTGATTCCACAAATGGCTTTCACAAGTAATTACTGCGAAATTACATTAAGCGCATTTAACGTTCACACACAAATGAGAAAAGCCCATAAATGTACTAGAAATGATCTTCTTGCACATGCGCAGATAGAGGAATGCTCGCCGTGGAACCATGGGAAAAGCAGGGAAATGCTCCCAAATGCGCATTTACTTTTCACATTACAGTAAATGCAAAATTACTGTAATTTCACAAATGCATTTCCTCAAAACTACCGAATTTCAAAAGATCTCAGATAACACCAGCTTCTGTCCAGTTTCTGTGTGACGTCGTATGAAATCGTGAGGCACAAATCCAGTTTCTGTTTGGGATTTGTATGGATTAACCAGCAGATTTCCCCCGTGTGATAACGTCCCTAGACAAATATCTGCTTGACATTCATCATCTGTCCATATGGAGAGGCAGTACATCTTAGCAGGGCAGCCACTTTACAGAGATTAGTCCTCCATTTGAAGGTCTGTCAGAGGACAGCTCTTTATTTGAGGATGTCATCCATGTACAGGGCATCCCGGCTGAAGTCCAAGTCAAAGGTAGAGAACGATAAAGAAAAGAAGAGGAAGGTTTCATAAAGTTGTCCATCAACAACATCTGGGATGCAGAATGAGCAGAGCAGGCATATGGGTCACCTGGGGCCCCTTCACACTATGCCATTATAGCACCATTAAAGGCCACAGTTCCATCCTATATAATACCAGGATTTGCAGTCAGGGGAAGGATATTATTAGTATTCCCAGCCAAAGAGCTTGAGTGCCTCCCTAAACTACAAACCTCAGGATTTCATAGGATGTTGTCATGGCAGTTAAAGTGGAAGCATACTGCTGCAATTGTGTCATGTGAAAGGGCCCCTGGTCACACTATGTGGATGAAAGACTTCGTTGTGCCACCTGAAGAAAGTTAGCATCTGGTGAGGCTTGAACTGTGGACATCTTAACTTCTTAGCAGCCCTTTCTCTATCTGATTTCATAATGTGAGAAAGTGCAGTTATTTCTCTAATAAAACTGAGTTGATATTCTCACCATTTCAGTAGAGGATGTGTTAAGCAGAATATTTCCAACTGTGAGAGTTGGCAGTCATTCAAACCATCGCTCTGCTTTCTCGCCTTTCTAGGTTGCCAGGGGAAATATTGACACCTTCCAAAAAAATATCCTAGAGCCTCCATGTCACAGCTGCTGGCAGTGAAATTTCTGTTCCCCAATCCACCCTTCCACAGATCTTCAAATATTTCCCTCTTTGGATTGGCAAGAAAGGGATGAAAACAATGTGTTATTTTGATTTTAATCTTTTCTATGGACAGCAGGTAAAGATCACACAAATTCCAGACTTAGCAAAGGTACCTATATATGTGTATCCTTGCAGAGCTGGGAAAGTTTACTTTAGAGGGACTACAACTCCCACAGTCTTGAAGTTGTAGTACACAAAGTAACTTTTTGTAGCTGTAGCACTTTGTGGCTATATGTTTGGGCTATTTAGAGTGTATGGAATCTGATGGCATAAGCGGAATTCCCAAAGAACTTGGCTTGAATTTTAGAAAGCACAAAGGTTCTAGTCCTCACTGCAAGAAAACATGGGGCCGAAGACTCCAGCAGAAGAAAATTGCATGAGTTCTATCTTCCATTTTTGTTTTTGATGTAACTCTCTGTGCATCACTCATTCAGTAGACCACTTCTGAAACCAGGGAGAGTTTCAAAACCTTTCTAAACTGTAGCAAGGTGTATGCAAAATCCTATTGAGTGCATGTAAAACTTTAAGTAGGAGCCAGTGTGGAGTAATGGTTTGAGCACTGGACTACGACTCCGGTGGTCAGAGTTCAAATCCCTGCTCAGCCATGGAAACCCACTGGGTGACCTTGGGCAAGTCACACACTCTCAGCCCTCAAAAACCCTGTAACCTTATGGCCTTAGGCTTATAACTTATGGCTTGAGGGTCACTATAAATCAGAAATTACTTGAAAGCAGACCACAACAACAAGCCTTTCGATACACCTGACGTTGTTTCCTGAATCATGGCCAATCCAGTTCACAAAAAAATCCATGTGAGATTTTAATCTTTCAGGAAGAAAATTCTTGCTCCTCTGGGCATCTTATTCCACAGTGTCCCACATACATCTCTTTCTCTTGATAAACCCCACTGCTTGCCAATTAAAAAAAAACATGCTATTGCACATACAGAAAGAGAGGAGGAATGTTTGGAACTGGAATCATCTAGGAACAATTCAAGTGAAAATATTTTTGCCACAATGCCAAATTCCAGTTGCTACATTTTAGATTAGCCACACCACCTGATTGCAAGCATGCTCATTTGCGTTGCATCCACACTGGAGAAATAATCTGGTTTGACACCACTTGAACTGCCCTGGCTCCATGCTTTGGAATCCTAAGAACTGTAGTTGCTTGTAGCACCAGAGTGGAGCTCTGATGCCACAACCAAGTACAATTCCCAGGGTTATCCTTTTAATGTATACTTTTAATTTATCCTTTTAATTTCTCAAATTACACACACACGCTGTTGCCCCTCTGATAAAACATATCAAAAAGACCCTATAATAAGTTCACCTAAGGATCACCATAAGTTGGAAATGAAGGCACACAACACCGACAAATACTGTTTTAAACTGTATTGCTTTTAAACTGCTTTTTTTCCTTTTCTAAGTGTAGACCACTGTTAATAGTTTGATTTATTTCTAATTTAATGTTGGCTTTTTGTATGTTTTTAGCTATATCGTAATCATTATAATTTGTAAACCGTATTGAGTTTCAATCTTGGGGGAAACCATGATATAAAGAAACATCATGATGATGATGATGATGATGATGATGATGATGATGATGATGATATTGCAGGGAAAACTAGTTAAGGCCAAATAAAGGCATAAAAGTAGTGGGAGGGAAAGAAAGTTTCTAGTTTATTCCCTGGAAGACAGGTGTGTGTGTTCAATAGTGATGACGTTTTGTTCTTGGCTGAAAATTGTAATGTACTGGAATACCAAGTTCATCTTGGTGGAAAAAAAATTTTCCACCTATATCACTGACACCATTCCAGACATCCTTCTACACTTACATCATTATGAGTGGAGGAGACCTAAAGTGCACTGCATTCGGTTGGGTTCTGGATCCTGGATTTCTAATGAAATAAAACACATGCTGAGAAGTATAGTCTAGAGTCAACCTTCCACATTTGCGGCTTTGACTTTTGCAGCTCTGATTATTTGCAGATTCACACTGTGCTGCTGGGTTTTTCTTTTCACTTTCACAGGGACCCAGCTCCTTGACCCCAGTGAATGTAGAAAGAAAATATGTGTGTTGGACTTAGCCAGAGCAGGTCCTATCTATCATAATTGGACAGTATAATCTTACGACGGTTTACTTGGAACTCTATTCCATTATATTCAACAATTCTAGTATTATGATTCTGTATTTGTTAGATCAGGACAGGAATCATGCAGCCCTCTGGGGTCCTTTCATGTAATGTGATTATAGTGCTATAATTCCACAGCAACATCCTATGGAATCCTGGGATTTGCTATTTAAAGAGGGTGTTTAGAATTCTCAACCAGAGACCTGTAATGCCTCACCAAACTACAACCCCTAGGATTCCATACAATGCAGCCATGACAGTTAAAATAGAGTCACGGTGCTAACCATATGGCGTGAAAGGCAATGGCATCTCTAGGGGGGTGCACAGAGTGTGGACCTCACCAGGTGACGCCCCAGTGGGGTGGTGCACCTAGAGGGACTGGCAGGGCTACTGGACAAGTGAGAAAGGATGCTTTCCCTTCTGCCCAGGAGCCACACAGGACCTGCAATGAGCCCTCCGGAGCCTGCAGCACTGCCAACCTCAATAGCTAGCAGTGGCTGCTGGAGGGTTGGTGCCTTCAGGGTCCAGCATGGCTGATCAAAAAGCAGCCATGCCAGGCCTTGAAAATCTTTCAAAGGGGCTGCCTTAAGGGTCTGGCTGCAGCCATGGTAGATCCTGAAGGCCTTTCCAGGGAGAAGCTGTAGCAGTAGGGGTAGGTGGGCAGCCGGAGGGAAGGGCAAATCTGTCATCCCGTCCCCGTCCCCCCGTCCCCTGCACCAGGTGGACCAACCTCAGCGATGCCACTGGTGAAAGGGCCCCAGATGTTGGACTCCAAGTCCCAGAAGTCTGACCTAATATAGCCAGTACGGAGAAACTGTGGGAGAAGGCAATTACTTCAGTCCAGCAGCAACTGCATGATTCCCAACCTTATATAAGATGTTGGTTTTTTAAAAAAAAGATAATGTGTGCAGCTAGAATGACCTCCTAATTTCAGATTGGTTGTTGAACTCTAGCAGTTCCCTTCAACCCAGGTCAGCTTATCAATGGGATTTTTGGATTGTGCTGCTTCATACTTTTCCTTCTGTGTAGTCATGCAAATACATTATTTAGGGGATGCTATGGGGTTGTCACAGTAAAGAATAGATTTTAGATTCTCTCAGAACATGTTGCTCTGGGGCCACAACAAACTCCATTCCCAAAATTCCATAGCATGTAGCCTTGACAGTTAAAGCAGTGTCAAACTGGGTTGCTTCTGCAGTGTGGATGCAGCCTCAGTTGGCCCCCCTCTCTGCTTTCTAGACCTTTTTATTTAGGCAGGCTTTTGATTCTTAACTTGTAGCAGAAGGAGCTTTTTAATGGGATGTGCTTTCATGTGTGATTAAATGTGTTTTGAACTTTGTGTTTTTGATATAATAGTTGCTAAATTTTTTAAAAACTTTTTTTACTAATATACTCTTTTAGCCATACTTTTTTTAAAATTTGTTGTAAGCCACCTTGAGCCCCATGCTTGGAGAAAGGCTTGCTACAAATTAAATAAATAAATATGGTATGCTTTCATATCTCTGAGGCTATCTTCCTTCCCCTCCTTAGTCCTTCACCTTTCTAGATATCCTCTTCCCCTTTACAATAGTTTGCAGTGGGGTGTGCTTTTTGTTATCCTTAGCAGTACATATGTTGCCTGAGTAACTGAGTAAAACTGCATGGGATCAGCCTTACTGACATGAAAGGACTGAAAACGTATTCCCATATGAGGAATTTTGTGCTGGCACTTATCCTACGTACCGCTTCTAGATTAGCTCAAACATAGGCAGGGAGGTGGGGGTATTTAATCTGGCCTCACCTTCTTTTATCATTTTAATGAATTGTATAATTTGTAGATATTAAAATAAAAAGAACAAAGGAAGGATGGATGAAAGTATGGAAGGAACAGTTGATTGCACAGGGCTTGCATGGTGAGTAAGCAGATATATCACGTGCACATAGCTACAAAGTAATTTCATATGGAAATTGTTCTTCTTTTCTTTTTAAGGAATTGCCAGATGTTTTAGACCAAGTCCTGAAAAGAGCCTCTGTTCTATCATCTTGGATGGACATACCAAATAACTGGGTCTAAATCATTTGGCACCTGAATGGACCAAAAAACTGTAAGTTTGGAAGAGTCTCTTTTCACAGGAGGACTCACTAAAACAAATACCAATAACATGAGCCAAATACAGAGAGAGCAATTAAAACTGCACAAAAATCAAATCCTCTTCCAAAGGTTTCTCATACACTGCGAATTCTGTTAAGATGTTGGCTGAAAGATGTGAAAGACAGTAAAGAGTATTCACTACACTCTCTTTTTTTTTTTTTTAGCCTTGGCAGTAAGCTCTGATTTCTGTGGAGAGCTATTTGCAGAGTGCTCAGAATTATATCAGTGAGTCAAGGTATGAAAAAACAAAAATAACAAATTGGAGGTCTTTCTATGAGCAGGGAGGGGGATACGATGGATATCAAAATGCATCTGGTTTGTGGGAACCTACACAAGACAACATGATACTAAGGAAGCTACAAATAATGAGATTGTAGGAAAGTCCAATAACAACATGTAATAATGGAAAACCCATATAATATCTGTATAATGTGTAAACCACTCTGTAAGATTAGGAAATCTAACTCTTTCCTAGAATGGCAGTTGACTCTCTGCATGAACAAACCTCAGGGTTCAGTACACAGTATCAACATCTCTTCCAGCCATTGTGATGGAGCCATCCAGAGCAGGCATGGTATCCCTGAGAGACAACTGTTGTTTACAGTTAGGGTACTATTATTCCCAAAAAGGACAATACACCTGTCTTGAGTCCTCCTTTAAATTCCCACACTGAGTGCATCCACACTGCACAGTTACAGAAGTTTGATATCACTTTAGCCACTTCCTACAGATTCCTACAGAATCCTTTTGGTTGGTGAGGTACTTAGAATCCTCTAATGCACCCCCTGGAGTTACAGCTTTAGAGATCTCTGGTAGAAAATTCTAAATACTTCATCAAATGACAAATCCTGTGATTTCATAGGATGGAGCCCATAATTTCCAATATTTCGAACATGATAACTGGGTCACATGTGGCCAAGTTGCTTCAGAATGTGGTTGGCCAGGCAACAAAAGGCAAAAACGTATTACCAATGAAGAGCACACAAAACTATGATTTTAAACAAAGAATACCTGGCATTTAGGTACTGAATTTAGGAATGAGATTCTACCTCCTCCTCTCCTTTCCCTCCTGTTGAGTTAACTGAATGCAAACTACTTTGGCCCTTTGAACTCAATTTGCAGCAACAGAAGTAAGCTGAGGAAGGAGGAGGAAAGTGGAAGAAGGAGAGACCAACCGGATAGTTTTAAAGGTAGCTGACAAAAGTGGGACAGCAGAAGATTAAGTAGGGCCATCTCCCTTCTAAATCAGGGGAATTGCAGGGTATTGGGATCAAAGTGCTAGAATTGTGTAGTGTGGATTCATCCAGTCTCCCTGGCAAAGTATATCTTTGACCACTGTGG